TGTGTGTGTGTGTGTGTGTGTGTGTGTGTGTGTGTGTGTGTGTGTGTGTGTGTGTGTGTGTGGATGGATGGAGGGAGGCCAGCTTGTCAGATCCATCTGTGGCCAGCACACTGCAGGGCCTCATTGAAAATGGACCCTACATGGAGTTTTGTGTTTATATCCAGAGGAAAAGATGAAAAATCTGTGCCCAGTGTCTAGTGGGTGTTTACCTACACAATGTCAAATTAGAGGGAAAAGTAACAGAAAATTAACTGTGTGGTAGTGTTGTCTTTGTTGTTAGCGGTGCAACAATAAAGCTGTCGCAGGAGAGTTTGCAGAAATAAGGAGGACCCAGCTTTCCAAGGAAAGTTTCATTAGACCAGCAAACAAAGCTAAACCACGCTTTCACAGTTGTGTTAATGACAAATGCAATTTCACAAAACTCACTCAAGACCTCATATGGCTCCCATCTTTTCCTCTCCAAGGTTTTCCTCTAGTGCCTGTATCCATCCACGCCGTGGCGAGGAAAAAGTATTTTGACGACAAGTGAGTAATGTTCCAGAAACCTCGGCAAATAAACAGAAGATGTTTACATTTGCGCTGGGCTGTGTGCGGTAGAGTGAGAGCGTGCAGGCGCGCGTGTTTTCATATGTGTGTGCACGCATGTGTATTTTGGGAGGCTGACAGCACTGACTGATATGTTTTTCCTTCTGTAGCTGTTGGATGAGTGTGGAGACCCATCTGCTCTACGCCATCCACGGCCCTATAGTGGCAGCACTTCTTGTAAGTCTGCTAATCCACTGTTTCCGCACAGAAAAAGCACGAAAAACTAATTTTACATGATGAGTCTTTATATTTTTGTATTCATTTAGAGTTTAATTCATGATTTGTTTTTTCTTTTTCTGTAGGTCAATCTCTTTTTCCTGCTAAATATTATCAGAGTTTTGGTTACCAAGTTGCGAGATACGCACCGGGCAGAGTCCAACATGTACATGAAGGCAGTGAGAGCCACCCTGATCCTGGTTCCCCTGCTGGGAATTCAGTTTGTCATCATTCCCTGGAGGCCGGAGAACCGGCTGGCTGGTGAAGTCTACGAGTACATAATGCACATACTCATGCATTACCAGGTAGGCACGAGCTGCAGCAAACACACAGGAGCTCAGTTCAGAGTAATCTAACAACGACTTGAAAAAGAAGGCTAGTGCAGCTTCACTGCCCTGGTGATTCAGCCGTTTTGCACCTCGGGCTTAAATCATAATGACCTTGAAAAAAGCAATTAAATTATTGCAATAAATATGCTTAGCATGAGCTTTACTTTATACGGAAACCTTAGTGCAAAACTGAGACAGTGTACAACCTAGATTTGTCCGTACCCTTGGGCTCCCCAGGCTCACGATGCTGATTTTTAATTTTGCATGACTGAACTTTTACGCCCTTAAAAACATCGTTCTCTGCCCTGTGGTTGTTATTATCTATTCATGTGACTCCCTTAAAAAAACATTTGGGTTCAACCTTAGCTTTGTTTTATGTTTTAGTAGCTTCTTAATTTACTCCTTCCCCCAAAAAGACGACATTTGAAGGAGGTGGGCGTGAAATACGACAGAAGCCGCTCAGTTCAGGAAAAAGAAATGAGGGTTGACCCTGGTAGGCATTCACAGGGGAAAGAGTTAAACAATCCATGAAATATTTATGGCCCATTAGATAATTCTGTTGTTGCCCCAATATTTCTTTGTATTCTCTCTTTAAAAGTTGCTTTCCCGTCTCACTTCTATAAAGTCACACCCTGTAAAAAAAAAATAAATAAATAAATCATGTGTCTAAGCAATTCCTTCCTCCAACGTTTCGGCAGATGGCTGCACTGTCTGAGACTACTTCTGTTGTGATTTTTTTTTAGATGTAAAAAAGCAAACTGAATTTACTAGAAAAAAGAAATGATTATCTCCTTTTTCCATCTTTGTTTCAGGGTTTGCTGGTGTCAACCATATTCTGCTTCTTCAATGGGGAGGTAAGGGCTGTCATTTAGTTAGCTTATTAGCTAACATTAGCGCTGCTCGCGTGTCATTTGTTGCTAGGTGTAAGAAGGCAGTAAGGGGAGCTTACAATGCTCATTTCCAATTCCATATTTCTATTTTTGGATCCTACTAGAGTAGTGTTGCAAGATTTACAGTTCAAAATCATTTTTATTTATTTTATACTCGCCTATTTTACTGCTCTCTGGGTTTCCCAGTATCTGAAACAAGCTGCGTTAGCTCCTTTCTTCCCTCTCTCTCTGAGCCAGTTTTCTTCTTATATGCTAGCCCTTCCAAAAAGAAGTTTTGAAAAGGTGGTGGTGGGGTTGCTGTGCTCGCAACCCGCTGTGTGTCTGACACAATTGGTTCACTTTAATCAGTAAGTAATTAATAAATTAGCTTTAGCGGAAACAAAGGGAAATTAGCCCCAGGACGAAGCTTGTTTTAGTCTTTAGTCGCTACGTGTAGCTAAGCTAACATGCCTGATTATGAGTATCATATTTTTATTTAAGCGTGGTATCAATCATAGCGGTTTACTTCTGGCAAGAAAGTGAATAATCCCCCAAATATCTGAGAGTTCCTTTAAAAAATATTGTACCCCTGTGCCATGTTTGACATCATAATAGCGTAGTTTTGATTGAGCAATTGGCCTTTTGGAAAGGTCAACCTGCACATGTTACTCTGGGAGCTTTTCAGTGATTGTGTAATAAAACCGCTCATCCCTTATGACATTATGCATGACACATCAGACTGCATCAGGTAAAACATTTTCAAAATTTGTTTTCAGGTCAGATCTCTTCCATCTGTATCGAAAAGTGACCCATGAATACCAAACACAGACTCATAGTTTTGGTTTTGGCCTTGAGTACGTGGGTAAAATAGCTGTAGCTTCGCAGAGATCTCTCCAAATTCCAAATGTAGCAGGTTATAAAACATTCCTCCGCTTTTTCCTCTTCTGAGACCAGTCTGGTGCTACAACAGTAAAAGCAGAAGGGTCATGTCAGGCGAGGAGTAAGACACACTTTATAAATGACTGTGTGGTTTCCAAGCTCAGCTGAATATTGACTCTTCTTTCTTCGTTCTCCTGTCAGCCTTTCTAAGCCTGTCTGCAGCTGTCTGACAGCAGCATCCTTAACTTGATTCAAATGCTTCACCAAACCGATGAGCTGGAGTTGCATTGAACGCAGACCTCAGGTTAATAATTCTGTGAAGACCTCACAGCTCTCCAGACTCAATGTGTGAAAGATGCTTTCAAGCTCAAGTCTCCACAAGGGTTGTAACATTAGAGGACACATTTCAGGCATTTTGCTAGTCCACACCAGTGTGTGAATGGCGCGTAGACATCAAGCAATTAAACAACTATTTAATTGCTATTATCTGTAATATTTAATTAAGGTGTTTAATTAAGAAATATTTATGCTGTAAATTGTGTTCCCCAAACAAATATTGATGCTTTTTTATGAGGTGTTTTGTTGCAATAGTGGAAAATACTGCAGAGATGCACAAACTATGGAAAACATTAAAGCCAAGTGAAATAAATTTGTATGGATTGGTCTCCTGTGCTTATCACTTCACACCATGAAAATAGTTTTGGCCAGGGTCCTATTTCTAGCCAGAACCTACTGTACGGTCCCATACTGTGAGGGCTGTCATTAAGAGCAACCATTTGCTGTGCAGGCTCTGCCCTCATGCAGTCCTTCAGAATGCAAAGCAAATGATGTCTGTGTGCAGAAGCACTAAGAATTTTACTGTACAATTCTTCTTCTTCTCCATTTCACAATGAAAAAAATACTCCACCCACAGTACACAGACATGCAATTAGTGGGGTCAGGTTAATTGTTGAATCTAATTTACCCATAGGTCTGAATGTGAGAGCGAACGGTTGACTGCCAACCTGTTCAGGGTATTCCCTGACTCTCGCCCTATGGTAGCTGGGATAGGCTCCAGCACTCCCCCGCGACCCTGATAAGGATAAATGGAAAATACTATGGGAATTTAGGATCTTGATATTTCTTAAAATAATTGTTTTCATCTCCAACAAAATCTGATTTTTACAATGATGACTTTAGCTACAAGAGGCTTTGGTGTCCCAGAGAAAGGTGCTTTTCCAGAGTTGCTTGAGTTTGTATAACAAGCAACAACCCTGAGAAGGCAAAAAAACCCCACTGTGGATCTGTTATATGTACACTTCTTATATTTGGAAGTTGTTGCTGTTGGCCAAGCAAGGAGTGCTTGATGGTTTTGTTAGCAACAACAAAAATCTCTGGAAGACAGTGGTGGATGATCGTAGGATCCTTTCCATGATAAAGAAAAAAATTAATTTCCCAACATTTTCCAGGAGTCAGGCAACTTTCCAGGAATAGAACAGCCTGATTAGACTTTGCCAAAACACTTTTAGAAACCAGAGCAATTTTAAAAAAGGATTCTTTGGAGAGATGAGAATAACACTTAAACCTGGCAGGAGGATGGGAAGAAAGAAATGCATGGAAAATGCTTGGATCGGCAAATGATCCAAAGCATACAGTATACCATCACCTGTAAAACAATGTGGGGGAAATGTGATGCTTGTATGCTTTTTCATTGCACATGTTTTGATTTGTCACAGTAGGAAAAATACATCCCACTTTGGGAATTCCCTGCTTTTGTCTGTGCCGTTCCATTCTTAAGGCTTACTGCGGCACCTAATGGACATGAGTCATCTTGAAGTCCACCTGTGCTTTCTGTACTGTGACATGGCAAACACGTGCTGTGAACATGTTCACTCACTAGTGTTTTCATTTTTTGTGAGTTGAGAAAAGACAGAAGCAGAATTCTGGAGTGTAACATTTTAATTTCTGCTCAGGTTAAATCAAATCCAATTTATTGGTTTGTGTTTCAACAGAAGCACCTCACACGTGAACAATGAGCCAAAACATACAGTGAAAGCAACATGGAAGTTTTGGAGGTCAGGAAGTGGAATAATGTGTTTGCAGAGTGGCTGCGGTATAAGCCTTCACAATAATCAGTGAAACTGGCTACACCAGGCATAGAGCCAGGGATCGCGCCTCTGCAAACATAAAAATAGACCAGGCTTGATTCCCCCCCTCCAGTACCGACACTTCTGGGTGTCAGAACTGACGACAGCTAGCATAAAGGAAATGATTCCAGCATCAGATTTTATTTTGCTGATACATCTGCTAACATCATCCTAACTCACACATATCACACAAACTAGGTAAGAATCTTAAAGTTTCACAGAATTGTGGCCCCTCAAAACACTGGAAGCATTAAAACAAAAGCTCATCGTGGTGTTTTTGTGACTCACGCAGCCCTACGCCAACCGCACGCATTCCACAGCACAATGTCCACAGCACAATGTCCACGCTAAGTGTTAGAGCACTTAGCATGAGGTGTTTGGCAAAGAGGACCTAGCAACCCACTGTCAAGCTCTGTTTTATGCATCCAGCTTGGAAAATATGTCACTTATTAACTCGTACATGAGCAGACAGAAAGCAGTCTCATCACCGTAAAGGATGCAAACAATTTGTCAAACACAATCAATGCATAGGGCAATACGTGTAAAGGGTGAACACACGAACTGTCACAAGGGAATGCAGTGGTTTGTTTGCTTCACCGGCATAATGGCCAATTCATGCTCTCTTAATCAGGACACGGGTTTCCTGGGCTGAGTTCAATTCTTTTTTTTTTTTATTTCAAGGCCAAACTACAAAGACCTGCCTTGTTTGTTCAATAGCCCCATTGTGAGGTTAGGTCAGTGAGACAAACAGCTTTCAAACTGTATTTGTGACACCAAGCACGACGTTCAGCATGAAGCTGTAAGACTCAGATGCTCATTTGTCTCAGAATGACAATTAGTGCCATAATTTATATCATTAGATCATTCTGTGTTAATGTACCCACAGTAATTACAGTGGTATTAAGACATGACTGAATAAAATTATTACCTTTGCACCGTTAGTAGTTTGTGTTTTGGGAAGAAGAAAGATTTCTACCATATGCTGTAGACAACTTAGCATTCATGTAGTGTGATGCTAATATTGGTTTCCACGAAGAGTGTCACGGCTGGCGGGGTGAGCCGTGTGGTGTTGGAGGAAAAGGAGGACCCAAAATGCGGCAGTGACTGATGATTCGAGTGACGTTTATTTACAAGTGGTGGAGTGGCAAAAACAGGCAGTGAGGCATGACAAAACAACTGAAGAAACCTAAACTGGGAGAACTAAATGACAAACCTGAGAGCATACAAAAGGGGTGCGGGGCAGAGAGACGCAGAGACAGGAACGAAACACCATAGAACGCAGACGAGCCGACAACGAACACAGACCGACACCCACTAAATATACACACACAAGGTAATCGGGTAATCACACACACAGGAGGGAAGAACAGCTGAACCCAATACACATGATGACCGGAGGAGACAAGCTGAACACAATGACAACAGACAGAGACCTTCAGAACAAAACAGGAAATCTAGAACCCGAACCGGACACAAGGGGGGAGGACACAGGATAACTAGAACAGAGGAAAATAATCAGAAAACACAAAACGCTGGGTCAACGACCCAGCACCATGACAAAGAGTTGCTGTTGTTTGTTCAGATGCAGCGCCAGCGGCCAGTCTGCAGGGCTGCTGCCTGAAAAGTTTGAATTATTTGTGATTGTTATTGTAAAGGAACACGCAGGAAGACTCTATTGACAAAAAAATAGTTCCATATTTCCTTGTTATTTCAATGACCTCATAGTTTCTAAGACATATCAGACACACGATTCTCAAGCAAGCTGACAGGGAAAAGCACTGCTGAATTTTGGACTGGGGCGAGATTGATTGAAGTTTCTGCATGTAACGCTGTGACTAATGATCGCATTAAGGCTTAAATAGAAGGATTATGAAGGGTTACGTGCTATAAGTCACGAGGGTAGTAATGGATTTTGTGATGACACAAATGGATTTGGTTCACAGTAAATTAATGTGTTTAATGCGCCAAATGGTTGCAGCAAGATAACAATGGTTGTCAACATGCCTATTCAAAAAGTGCTGGAAGATTTGTTGCTTATATAATCACTACAGTTATATTCTGATCATTTAATTGGTGCAAAGCCTGAAGAGAAAGAAGTTGTGCACTTTGTTTTTTGGTCAGGATGCCAGAAAGAGAAAATTGTATGTACCCTTTGGGATAATCATGGTCATGTTTTCATACCTTTGAATGGCATCGGTGGAAAGATGCCATTTGACTGTTGTTAGATTTAGTAGGTGAAATGTGTGGAAGTCAGTTTATTTATAACATGGTTATAGATCACTTCATTATGTACACCTGTTCAGCTGCTTGTTGCTGCATATATCTAATCAGTATTTAGACACGGTCTAGACAACCTCCCAAATTTTAAATTGAGCATCAGAATGGGGGAAAACGTAATTTACGTGACTTTTAATGTGGCGTCATTGTCACTGCATCATCATTGCTTGTCTACTAGGAGTTTCCTACAAACCATCTCTAGGTTTATAGAGAATGGGCCTGAAATGAGGAAATACCCGGCGAACACATGCCTTGTTGATGTCAGATTAGAGGAGACTGGTCAGAGTTACAACCAAGGTATGCATAAGAGCATCTCTGAAAGCACAAAATGCTGATACTTGAGGTAGATGTGCTTCAATGACCAAAGTAGAACATGCAAGATGTCTTAGCTAGACCATGCTCCTGTCAGATAGGAAGAAGAAACCGATGCTACAATTTGTGCAAGATCACCAAAATTGGACAACAGACAAAAAATTGGAAACATGTTGGCTGAGTGTCGATTTTTGCTGCAGTATTTGGATAGTAAGCTCAGACTTTGGTGTAAACAACAATGATGCATTGATCATGCCTTGTATCAATAGTTCAGGCTGCTAGGCCCCCTCACTACCAGCTGAGCACTGTTTAAATGCCACCGCCTTTCTGAGTAGTGTTGCTGACCATGTCAGCAGCGTACCCCATCTTCTGATGGTTGTTAAGGATAATGTACCATGTCACAAATGTCAGTTAATCACAAACTGGTATCTTGAACATGACAATAAGTTCACTCACTCATCAAAAAAGCTCAGAGGAATGTTCCCAGCCCCAGGTTGACAGGTATGCCACGACAAATTAAGGCAGTTCTGAAGCAAATGGGGTTCCTGCCCAGAACTAGAAAGATAAACCTTGTGTATTTATCTCTTTTTATAGTGAGATGATCTGGCCACATGCACAACCTGGCCACCCCCGCCCCCCAAAAATGGATATTTACATTTTATAGCTGTCATCTGCTAATGTGATTGAAATTTGAGTGGCCCACACATGCTGCAGTAATAACATGCACATCAGTTAAGATCATTGTCAGTTGGATCAGTGTTGTCACAAACTTCTCCGACTCAAAACACAAAAACAAAGCTTGCAGTGAAGTCAAATAATTAAATTAGATGTAAAATATTATTATTAAGGCTGCATGTGTCTACATATGAGACACTAAACCACCTTTTTTATGTGCTTGTGTGACATCCAGGTGCAGGCAGCTGTGAAGAGACAGTGGATGCAGTATAAAACCCAGTGGGGTCAGAGACGAAAGGACCACTGCTCGATGCGCTCCACGTCCTACACAGCTACCTCCATCACCGAGGTACCCGCCTTCATGTACCATCACGACTGTAACACCGAACACTTGAACGGGCGCCACACGGAGGACTCTGAGCTGGTGGCGCTAAAGTCGGGAGACACGTACGCTTGAGTAACGCCGAGGATAAAATGCGTAGCGGTGGAAAAAGCCGAGGACGAGCAACAAAGTAAACGTACAGCAAAAAGAAGAAAATGAATTCAGTTCACCTGCCATATCTCAGCGATTAAATCTCCGGGGCTTGCTCAGCTCAGGAGGATGATAGAGGCCTGAAAACAAAAAGCTCATTGACGTGGATTAGCTACAAGGCTGACACTTTACTTTACATTGCTGTTGCAGCTGCTTTTTCAGAACTTTGATGTTGAGAACTTGTGACGTAAGGAGAGCTGCTTTTGACATGTGTCAACTTCCTAAAGCTGCTAAACTGCGTGTGCCCGCTCGCAGTGATGGAGGCTTGCACTAGTGTGGAAATAACTGTGACTGTGTGAGGGTAGCAAAGTTTTCTTTCTTTTCCTGACGGTGCTGAAGGTGACAGCGATGATGTAGAGGTGAATAATGACTGCGATGGTGTTGATGATGACTATCAAAGCGAAGTAGACGAACCAATCATTCCTAACCTCACCTATACCAAAGGGTACTGTTTGGTGGTCACGACCGCGGGGGGGGGGGCGTACTATGTCCAGCTAAGCACAGGTGCCATAAAGCAAAAGACACGGACGCAAACACACACGCAAACGTCAGCAAATCTCATCGACCTGATCAAATGTGCCATGAAAGAGGTCAACTTTCAGAAGACCCTCTCCGCTCCAACCTCTGGAATTGTGTAAATAATGTATGTTCACCATGTTTAATTAAAAAAAAAAAAAGTGTTTTAAATGTTTTAAAAAGATTTTTGTTTTCCACCCACCCACACTTTCTATCAATGTTTTATCCTTGCCGATTCCCTAGTACGTGCTCAGTAAATGTCCCGTGATGCTGCATTCCTGACTGCTTTGTTGTTATGCAGTTGCTGTATTTGTGCCGATGCTGAAGCTCACAGGGCTGTGACGCAAAAATGCACACACACGAAATACTTCAAAGCTAAAAATAAAACCGTTCTGTTGAGGCCGAAGAGCCACCGGAGTTGATCCACTGTGTTCTGAGTTATGATTCAGTCAGCTCTGCCAATGATTCTAATTTATCCTCAGCCATCCTTTGTGAGCTCATGATGTCTCTAATCTGTCACCTGCTCTTATCTGGGAAAAGAGAAAGGCTCGCTAAAGATCAAATCCAAACTGTATGCGCACACTAAACCTACCGATGTCTTAAATGCATGTTCGCGTCTTTGTCACGGTCTTGCACAAACATGATGTTTAAACTCATCCATCAGTGGTCCTAAACACGTTCCTATTACTCCTCTGCCTTTTCTTTATTAGGCTTGGTTAAGGGTTTGTTGAAACCTTAGTAAATGCTGTGTCTTGCATTTATCTGTGCAAGGTCCTTCAAATCTGGTCATTTTTTAAACTGCATGTCCAATAAGAGACATTTCAGTTCCACCAGATCAAAACATTTATATTTCTAGAGCATGTAGCCAATGGCTATTAAATCCTCTGGCTGCTCACATTACTGTGATTTGTTTTTGCCTCCTTAGCAGCAACTTCTCTTTGCTTACATTGTCAAAATGGAAAAGCGTTCCAAGTTGAGCTAAATTCTTGGTAAAAGGCATGTAGAAGTAACATCTTATATAATAAAGCTGGTGATACTCGGTATCTTTTGCACTTTTAGTAAGCAGAAATTCAGCAGTGCGTCAGCGTGAGTTGTTCTCGCTGGCGCTCGTGCTGATTTCTCCAAAATAAAGATGTACATCTTTTAACATGTAAACACATTTACTTATCTAGTACTTTAAACTAAAGGCTGAGTACTTGGAGGAGGGGGAGACCTCGAACCTTTTTAAAAAAATATTACTCAAACAGAGGTTTGCTCAAGAGTTGTCTGCCATATTGGACGTGATACAACCACCGATTGTGAAGTGTGTGTTCCCCAAGTGCTTAGCAAGTGATTGGCTGTCACTTGGTGAAATCGAATGCAAAGAGGACGCGGCACCAGAACACTTATGATTGCTGTGGTGGTGATCAAACTGTTGTGGTCACCTGTAAATTTGCAGACTGTCTTGTCTGCAAACACTCACTTTTAAACCACCAACTAGTAGTAATGTAATAAGACTTGACAAAGTGGATGGAGAGCAGAGAATGTTCCGCTCAGTCAATTATCTTTATTTTTCTGACAAAAACAAGGTGATAACTAATGAAAAAACTAATGTACGAGGGCAAAAACTATGTTGAAACATGTTGACATTTTGCCAACGAATAGAAATAGAATAGAAAAAAAAAATCTGAAACGAGATTTCTTCGGGAGGGAGACTAGATAGTGACGAGGAAGAGAAGCGTAGACTTATGGACACTTTTTGTATTTCATGTCAAGGAAGATCAGACGTTTTGTAAATGGTGTGGAGCAACTCAACAAACTTTTAGACTTTTTATTTTAGTCCAGCTTAGATTTAGTCTACTATAATCTTATAACATTTAGTTAACTACGACTAGACTAAAACTAAATTATGTTTTAGTCAAAAGACTGTGACTAAAATGAAATCAAAATTTGATGTTGAAGGTTGACCTTCAAAGTAAATGTTAGCGATCCACCCAACATGTTTCTGAAGGCTTTTACTGTGAAGGAAAACGGTCTTTGCTGTCAGGTTGTGTCGCACTCTTTGCACTTTCACTGCTGCTCAGAGAGTTGTGAGTGTTTGTGGGCAAGTCAGTGTGTTGCATGTAACTACAGGCAACCAAAACACAAGTTTGTTGCCATGGAGTCACTGACCAGGCTGTAGGCCTGTGTGACTGGAGCCTTTATCACTTGACTCTGCACTGTCATCATGTTCGTCGCACGTCTAAGGTGGCAGACAAGTTAAAATCCCAACCTCAATACATGATGCCTTTGATCATTTTAGAGATTAGTTTCAACTGTGAACAAAGAATCACTATTAATAATTCTGAAATCACAAAAATCAATTCAAAGGTGTTTAAAAACTAAATTGGCTACACACATATTTATATAATGAGAAAACATTTTTACTGTCATTTTATGTGTACGTGGTGCATTTGTTGAATGTGTGCTCAATTTTTATTTGCCTTGTCATTGTCAACTGTCGGGCACCACCTGTGAGAGATTAGAATAAGAAAAAGCTCTAAATATATCTAATCTTCATAGACATTGTGAGATCACTGTCACTATGGATAAGAGATGCTCCACAGGTATCCATGCAGAATAAGTTTGTATATTGTAATGATTGTAAGAATTGGCTTGTTGATATTCATTAATCTGTAAGTATTTGCTTTCTTTAATCAGAGGAAAATCATATGAATGCAGACTATTTTAAAAAAATATTTTCATAGCTATATAGGAGATTTATCTGAGTACATCTGAGCACTCACCACTGAGAGCGAATCACACAGAGTCACTCATGAATCAGTTCAGAAAATCAAATCATTTTGATGAAATTACTCAAATCAGGGATGCCACTATTTACTAGTTGTAATGGCGCAGCTTCTCTACAGTACATAAACCGCACGCTGCACAAGCTGAATGCATTCAGTCCCTTTTCATGGCTTCACCTGTCAAATCCTCTTACAGCCCCCACCCCTTTGCATAAAACAGACATTGGGATATGTTTCATATTTCAGTGACTTTTATGTTACCAGCTGGCTGTAAGGAACTAGGAAGGACCGTAGAGAGACAATCATGATGGCAGAATAGGTTTTACTGATTCAAATGTTTTAGTATGAGAGAAAAATTATTTATTTTAGTATGAAATACATCTTCCTCTTCATTTTTATTATGGTGATGTTTCCTGGATCTTGTGCACACTGTAAGACATATTATTAGTGTTGTGGATTCTGGATTCTATATATTTTGTATGTCTGTTCATGCCCATGTAAATACAAGCAAACACTGTGTACATAATAGATTTTTGCACTGTGAAATTCTATGATGATTATTTTTGTTACCCCCTTCCCTTCTCATTTATTTTTGGCTTGTGTTTGTCTCTTTCTCCTTCTCAGCTTGGACTAGCATCATCTCAGAGCTGATAAAAAATGTATTTTGTAAAAGCCACAACGATTGGTGTTGTTTTTTTAAAATCTTCCACCCATTTAGCACAACAACAGAGACATATCCTTTGGTGTCACTCTCTATTTCTTGAGCAATCAGCAAAAACAGAAAGCTGTGGCGTGAATGCAAAAGGTAGAAAAAGATGAAAGCTAACAATCGGAAAGTGGACAATTTTCAGAGTCTGATGACTTAATGATTAAAAAGCGTGCTTTGTTTTGTTATTTTCGTAAATAATTTGGTAAGATTATCGAGTTTAAAACCTTTCTGAAACAAACTTTGTTTTCCAGCAATTCTGCGAAATTCTGTGTTGATTTAGCAGCTTACTCGCCAACACTTTCTCCTGTCAACATTTCAGGGTTGAGAGAATTTGTTTAATGAGTGTGCAGGGAAAACAGGGGAAGTCTAGCTCCATGTGGTGTCTTGCCTTGTGATTCCTCAAGGCAGTGCTGGCAGCGCTTTACAGCCCTGTTTTATTTTAAAGGTTCTGCCTGAATTACATAAAAGCATCTGATGTCTGTAACAGGAAAAAATCCACTGACATGGATCCGCTACAAGATGAATGTCGGCGTACACTCCATAACATATTAAAGTAATTACGATATGTTGCTCACAGTGGTGAAGGCTTCATAAGTCAGCAGTTCAGTGATACTTGATATGCTGTATCCAGGAGACATCTAATCATCTGTGTAACTAAAAGAGATCTGACCAAAGCAGTTTCTGAGATGAATAATCTCCAGTTCACCCAACATTTTAAGGAGAAATGCAGTCTTGGACATTGGTCAGAATCAGTGTTTGGCCCAGGATATACAGTAATATAAATGGTTTACAGAACTACTTTTAAAAACCCCAAAGCGCTTGCAAACTCAAAGAGCGACTCAACATTTTTACAACGTCTATTAAAGGAGAATCTACAAGAAGCCAGAAGTTGAAGAGAGGATATTTAAAAGGATGACTGCTAAACAACCAGCTTCTGTATAGTTTCAGAGTACAGGTAAGATGAAGCAAAGGTTTTTCACAATACAGCAATAATCCTAGCCTTCAGGCTAACATTAGCTAGCAGACTACTTTTAGTGCTTCGCAAAGACTTTATTGGGGAGGTTTGCCAGATTATTAATGGCCCCCCAAAGTATATCTCATCTTAGACTATTATTACTTTTTAAAAATTCATCCAAAGTACTTGTAGACAGTCCCCTTACTCATAGTTTGACAGTTTAGCTATTGGTCCTTTCCATCTCATGTTTCTTTTGGGATTGATCACTGATGCTTCGTCGCTCATTATCATTCAGGTTCCTCTTGGTTGAGTCGCTCAATCTGTGGTCAAAGTTTAACTCTACAGTCTTGAGCTTCATTAAGACTTCTGTGGTGAATCTATGTAGAACCTACGATACAGCGTACGCCGGTGGCTGACACCATGGCCACATTCATACTTGTTAACGTTAGCGGTGACATGCAGTTACATTTCTAGACAGCAACATGTCTGGTTTCGCCGTAGGTTATGGTTTAGGGTTTTGTTACGAAGTTCCACAGTAACCACAGAAGTATAATTTTACTTTTAGGCCTTTTTTCTTTCTGTATCCGAAAATCCACTAGAGTCCACTTAAGCCTGAGTGATGGAAAGTTGGCCATCAGACGCTGCGACTGTGCTGACTCGTCTGTGGAGAATTTGCATTACAGTTAGATACTACGCATGCGCTCCAGGTGCCAGATTGCTAGCAGACCTCTA